ATTTGTTCCCGACAACTGCCCCACCCACCTGCCTCTCCTTTAAACACCATCCCCAGGTGTGTCTTGTGAAGGGAATCAGGGCCCTTTCCTCCCTTGTAAGCCACATTGCTCCTTTCTCCATTCTTCCCTGCATGCCCTAGGATGAAGACAGGGTGGGCCTAGATCTTCCTCTGAACCCCCTCTCCCTTGTTCTACCTCTCTCCTGCTCTGCCCAGCCTGACTTTGCCCTTCCCCAGTTTCCTCCACAGCCAATGGAACCACTCTCCAGCTTCCTGACAGCTGTTCGTCTTTCTCCTCAGTGGATAATGTCTGTATCATTACAAGCAAGAGACCATCCAGTTTGGGAGCGAAGCACAATCCAGCCAAAGTTAGCAATCTTCACTCTCCTGGCTTCCAATGAAAGAGATTTAAAAACAAAGGACATTTAGCAGCGTGCTGCAGTTGATGGGAATTGTATTTATTTATTTGTATCCACCCGTGGTGGTATTCTTCTGATTTGGCCCGGTTTGGCTGAGCCGGTAGCACCAATGAGTAGCGGAGACCGAACCGGTTCTCTTCACCGCTTTGCTATTGGGCCCACCTGGGCTCCCATACTCACCTTTATCCTCTGCATTTGAAGCGCGGCTGCTTTGCGCGGCACAGCAGAGTGCCGCGCGGCAGCTGCTGAAGCGACCAGGAGAGTGCAGGCTTGCAGGAGGTGAGTTGGAACGCCTCTGCGTCTGCACCAATACTTCTGCGCCTATGCACATTTGGTGCGGGTGCACGCAAAATGTGTGCATGTGCGCAAAGCACACCCACCAAGCCACACCCACCGAGCTGGTGGTAAAACTTTTTGAATCCCACCACTGGTATCCGTCTTTATTATTTTCACAAATAACTCAAGGCGGCAAAACGTATCCAGCAGTTTCCTCTTCCCCTTTTCCCCACAACAACAACCCTGTGAGGTAAGTTAGGCTGGGAGAGAGTGACTAGTCCAAAATCACCCAGTCGGCTTTCATGACTAAGGCAGGACTGGTTGTTAAGTGAATTTGGCTTCCCTTTCGACTTCAGTATTGACGTATTTACGTCAACCTCCTACTCGACCCATCCGGCTGCATTGTGTGAAAAACGGTCATAAGTCCCGTTCTCAGTGCCCTTGCAGATTTGAAAGGTTCCTGAGCAAACAGTTGTAAGTTTAGCACTACCTGTAAATTAGGTGAGTGAAACTGACTAGGGAAGACACGTAAAACTGACAATCTGGTTTATTATGTGGCTCACTGCTCAACAAGGCAAGAACATTTAAAAGCAGCTGCTCTCTGCTGTTGCCAGACTGTTACAAAGGCAAATCTGGATTCTCAAAATGGGAAAGGGGAAAAAAAGAAATCAAAGAAGGAGGGGAAAAAAAGTAGAAATCATTCTTTCAGAAAAACCTCACAGGATTACTGACAACGTAAAAACTGGCTATATTATCTCAAAGTGGAACAGGTTGCAGAGAAAAGAACTCAACTAATTATCTAATGCCTTTCAAAAGACCTCATTTTGGGTCTGTTGTTCTTCCCAAGGATAGCACTATTTTTCTATTACTCCCTTCCTGCCAATTAAATTGACTTACTCCGTTACCTTCTCTGAAAGATAATAATTGGTGTAGCTTCTCACAATTAAAATGTTTTTCGCTTTTTTGCCACTGGCTTTCTGGCTGCAATTAATCTGAAGTTGGCAAACTGAACTGTTTGTCTATATAGGAACAAAAAAAAAAAGAAGAAGGAGAAGTTTCTTTGAAGAAGTAATATCCAATGTTTGCCCCCAGGGGTTGGAAAGGAAAATTTGATATTAAACAAGCATCAATGACAGACTGAGTGACAGTTATAAAAATACATTAGAAACTGAAATTTCCTCAAACAGGAGCATTAACATTCAGTGCAGTAGTATTTATGTCAACCTCCTACTCAACCCATCCTGGGGATATTTTTCCCTTCCCGGACAATACAATATAGAAGCAAGGGGGCGTGGCCAGGGTGGGCGTGGCCATCATGACGTCACTCAGGTCGGGAGCGCCTGTGATGGGTCATGTGCTCTGCCAATGAAAACGGGCTCCCGGCTATGGTGAGAGGCAAATATTTTTACTATTGGTTCTGTGGGCGTGGCTAGCGGGGCATGGCCATGTGACTGAGTAGGCGTGGTTTTTTTCTTTTATTTTTTTTCCCCTCCCGATGATCAGCTGTGCCGGGATCCCCCTCGCTGTCTTACTGCTTCGCCTAGGAGGTTTCCCTGAGGCTCAGGAGGAAAAAAACAGAGTGAGGGGACGGCGCATAGCATCCCCCTCCCTTCACGCTCCTTTTTGCCACCTGGGCCTCAGGGGCGAAGCAGTTAAGACAGTGAGGGGGATTCCAGCACAGCTGATCATTGGAACAGCTGATCGTCAGGAGGGGGGGAAAAATACGGTTCGGCTTGAAGCAATAGCTGTTTTTTTACTACCAGTTCGGCCAAACAGTAGCATTCTTTACTACTGATTTGCCCAAACTGGGTCGAACCGATAGAACACCACCAGTGGCTTCTGACCTCTGTTTTCGGCTTCCATGGCCTCCTGCAACCCTTTGGCAGTGAAAACGGAGCTTGGGAGCTCCGTTTTCACTGGCAGAAGCACCACAGGCAGGTCCTTTGCTGTTTCCAGGCAGGCCCCGCAGGCCAGATCTAAGTACCCTGCGAGCCAGATCCAGCCCCCCGGGCCTTGAGTTTGACACCCCTGCTATATATAAACACTGTCTACTCTGCTGCCCACTAATGCTTGTCTGAATTTGTGCAGTTTAGATCTGCTATGGCTAAACATTGCAATGACTACAAGTCCAGTAAATTAGGAGCAATCAGAGAGTGAAAACAAATGCCAGAACATTTTAAATTGCAAAAATGCCTGGAAGTAGATGGAAATATGATTCAGATCACATAAGAGACAAAGAAAAACTTATTCAAGATGGCTTTGGTTCGTGCATACGTGGTTAGAAAAAATATGAAGGCAGCATATAGATTATAAGCCAGAGCTATTTTTACAAGACATAATACCAGAAAAATGAAATGAAAACCCTCGACACGGCACCAACGCTGCACTATACAGTAGAATTCAAAAGAGCTACTGCCCTGGGATAGAAGCTGTTTTTCAGCCTATTTGTCCTTGTTTTTATTATTCTGTACCGTCTGCCAGATGATAATAGTTAAAAAAAAAAGGGTTCTCAGGATGAGATGGATCTTTGAGAATATTTTGAACTTTCTTAAAGCTCTTCCAAAGAGGGGAGAGGGCAACCAATGAACTTCTGTTGTGCCATGCATTGGGGAAGTGGTTGTTCTGTTTCTCCAATGTGCAGATCTGTACATATCTCACTGCATTGTACTGCATATATCACACTGCTCAGTTTGTGGGGTGGGCAAGGAGGAATAGCAATAGCACTTAGACTTATATAATGCTTCACAGGGCCTTACAGCCCTCTCTAATCGGTTTACATACTCAGCATATTGCCCCCGACAATCTGGGTCCTCATTTTATCAACCTCAGAAGAAGGATGGAAGGATAAGTCAACCTTGAGCCACTGAGACTCAAACTGCCGAACTGCTGGCAGTCGGCAGAAGTAACCTGCAGGACTGCATTCTAACCACCGCGGCACCAACGGATGTGTTCGTAATGGTCAATCCAGGCACAGGTAGGCATGTAGCTGGTATGGTGGGTGACCTTGAAGCAGTGTCTCGGAGAGACACAGTACTTACTTTCGTTTCTGTTGAGGTAATTCCCCGTTAGGAGAATGAGCGCATACAGGGAGACGTATAGAGAGTAGTGTTGGAATAATATACACAGAGCACACAGATGCACTGTACAGTAAATGTAGGTTTTTACTTCCAGAAAGGTTTAAGCAAAGTCCAAAATAAGCAGTCCAAAAGTCATCCACAAATAAATCAGTCAGTTTTTCAATCCAGAGATAGTCCAAATATCAAATTCCAGTGTCAAAAACAGTTCAGTATCAGACTTACATTAAATCCAGTAATCAGTCAATTAGAAGAAATGGAGGAACGGCAATACTTTCCAACAGAAGGAAACAGAGATAATCACTCAGACACACTCTCTTCTGAGACTCAGACTAAGACTAAACAACCCTGGATTCTGGCTCCATCTTATGGCTGTTTGAGAAACCACACCCAATTGCATGCTCTTGCATTCCCTTAAAGATATAGTACTAAAATGTTTATCCTGGTTTATATATTTCTAACCCACATACCTGTTAGGTGACTTATATTCCCAACAGTTTCCCCTTCTTGCCTCCCTCTCCCACCCACCCCCATCCATTGCAGTCTGTCAACATAATGTAGCAAAGCACAAGCAAGCATAAGGTGGTAGCCGAAAGCCCGAGTGTCAGCTCTGAAGCTGGCCTGACTGAAGCTATTTTGGGGGCTCCAGTGTTGCCACAATGGAGATGAGGGATGGGGGGGAAGAGAGATAGCTAGGGTTTTGTAGCCAAAACAAAATAGTTTCCCCTCTGAACCAAGGACATTCCCTCAGGTGGCTGAAAGAAAGGAGGAGTGATGTTACCAAGCAACCAGATTGCACCTTGATTGGACCATGTGACTGATTGTTTGGGAAAAGGGGGGGGGGATTTTTACTTTTCATTTGGCGAAAACCAAATTAATCGTTTAGTCGGGAATCGTTTAGAGTCAGTTTTCATCAGCCTGTGCCGATATGATAGATCCAGAATAAATCGTTCTTTGAGGAATCCACCTGCCTCGGTGTACTGTTTGTTATGGGTGTATTACTTGGAATCCTGACACGGAGTACAAATCTGCATTTTGCCTCAAACGCAGCTCTAAAGAAAGCAGAAACTTCCCACGAATTCCATTCAGAATGAAGACAAAATTGCATTATTCGTGAACTCCTTGGAAGACGGGGGTGCGGTGGGGGGGTAGAGAGAAGGCAGGGTTACAAATGTGGCAGAGCCAAACCGTAAATTGCGCTGCAAGCGGTTCAATATTTCTCACGCACTTACCCGCACAGTATCCTACCAGATTGAGGTATTGCTCTCTCTTGCAGGGCGTTCTGCATCTTCCACTGAGGAAAGAGACGTGGGGGTGACAAGCGGTGCATTCATCATCCTCAGCCCCGCTGCATGACTTGCAAGAAGGATGGCAGGCTGGGAGAGAGAGAGAGAGAGTGCGAGAAGGTAAGAGGGAGAAAGAAGTCTGCAATGGAAGCCAATCGCTTTGATAAAAAGCAAAATTCCGACTTTGTAGATTCCAGAACATGGCTAAAAATGCATGCTTGGCTATTTGTCACAAATTTAAAAAACAAACAAAAAACTAACTATGGAGACGTTTCCTTTAGCTCAAGGATCTCCAAACTTTGGAACTTTAAGACCTGTGGACTTCAACTCCCAGAATTCCTCAGGTAACCATTCTGGCTTGGGAATTCTGGGAGTTGAAGTCCACAAAATTTTAAGGTTGCCATTGCCAAGTTTGGAGACAGGGATTCAATCAAGATCATAAATCAATCGGGATTATAAAGCCTTAGTAAAACCGTACCTAGTATAATGCATCTAGTTTTGGTCACCACACTATAAAAAAGATGTTAAGGCTCTAGAAAAAGTGCAGAGAAGAGCAACCAGGATGATTAGGGGACTGGAGACCGTTTTAGGTTGCAGGAATTCAGAATGGCTAGTCTAGTGAAGAGAAGGAGGGGCTGCCACAGACAGGAGGAAGGGGACAAGCTATTTTCTAAAGCACCCGAAGGCCAGACAAGGAATAAGGGATGGAAACTGATCAAGGAGAGATTTAACCTGGAAATAAGGAGAAACTTTCTGACAGTGAGAACAATCAACCCATGGAACAGACGTTGCCTTCAGAAGCTGTGGGAGCTTCATCACTGGAGGCTTTCAAGAAGAGACTGGACTGCCATCTGTCAGAAATGGTGTAGGGTCTCCTGCTTTGGCGGCGGGGTTGGACTAGATGACCTACAAGATCCCTTCCAACTCTGTTAAATCTATTACAGACACCTGCCTTAGTTGGACCTAGGACAACTCTCTGTGACCAATTTGCCACAGCCAACTCACCATGGCCAACTTGCCATGATCAACTTGCCATGGCTGGCTCGCCACAGGACCACTGGCTGCGGGACAATTCAACCACTGCATTAATTGTCTCATTCAGGTTCTTTTATAATTGGTGATCACGTTTTTGTCGAAATTATTATACCTCTTGTATTTCTGGATTGCTTTTCTTTCTTTTGCTATTATTGGGCATGGTTCAGTCAAAATCAATTCAACTTTTGCATGAGTTGAATTGTCCCATGGCAACACAGCAAGTTGGCCCAGTCTGGCCTTAGTTGGGTCATTGCTGAGAACGTGGCTATGTGAACATTTGGTTGTCCCAAAGCTGCTTTCTTTCTTTTTCAAGAGGCAACTGGACTTTCTGGTTTTTCTTTGAAGACATTTCGCTTCTCATCCAAGAATCTTCTTCAGATCTGACTGGATGGTGAGGAATGGAAGGATTTATACTCCTTTCAGTTGGTCGTTTGCATTCTTTGTATAAACCCTTCCATTCCCCACCATCCAGTCAGAGCTGAAGAAGATTCTTGGATGAGAAGCAAGACATCTTCAAAGAAAGTTCAGTTCCCTCTTGGAAAAAGCATCTTTGGGACAACCATGACCTGGATGGCTGAGAATCTCCATAGACATATTTGGTTTTCACAAATCTATCTATCTATCTATCTATCTATCTATCTATCTATCTATCTATC